TGTGTGTGTGTGTATATGTATATCTACTCCTTTATAGTTTTGAGGTTCAGTCAATAAACCATGTATGTTTATGTTCAATAAATATAAAATATTAATATATAATACAATATAACACTGACAGGAGCCATTCTGCTTCATACATTTTTTACAAAATGTACTTTGACATCAAGCACAGGTGTAAATGATGAAAGTAATGATGGCTCACTTCAATAGCTGCTTTGGTTTCAGGATCATCCTATTGTGCATGTTGGCTCACTGTCACATCTCCATGGCATTGTTATTATTACTACTAGCACCTGTGCTGTTCCTGCCATAATAAGTCAAAATGTCTGCTGTGAGCAAGCCTGCACCTGTTCTGCATTAAGCACGTTTAGACGATAACACCTCTGTACTTTTATTTAAATGACAGTTTAAATGCAGTAATGTTGCTTGTGATATATATAGTATTTTTAAGTTGTAGTATTGCTACTTTTACCACAGTGAAGGATCTGAGTACTTATTATTAACACTGCACATATTAAGTTAAATACAGATGATGCAATGTGGCTTTTGGAGCTGTTATGAGACATAAGTAACAGAGAGAAAAGAATGCCATAATAATTAATGTTACTAATTACTGTGGAGTAATTTCTGAGGAGTAGTTTTTGACATATTCCAACTTGCCAAACACTTTAAGATTAAGATTTACCAGCACCTTTGGATAGATTCTTTGAATAACCAGATTGTGTGGCTGACGCATTAGAATTTATATAGTAAGCTGTGAAGAGAAAGGAGGCTAAACACATATTGTGAGCCTTGATTGTGAGCCATTTAGTTCCTGAGCATGTGTGTTTCTGACTTAAATCACACTTTAGCACACACTTTTGGGATGATACATCACAGAATGGGATCACCTTCCTAATAATAAAATTAACCTTTTTTTAATAGCACGTTTAAAAAATAAAGTTATAAAGAAAATAAAATTAGACAATTAAAAATAGTACAAAAATGAGATGGAATAAAATACAAAACGATAATACCAATAAAATGCATGTGATATAGTTGCAACTGCTCAGGATCTGATGTAAAGTTCCCTAATGGCCTCATCCGTCGTGTGTTCATATGTAGAAACTTAAAGCTGTGAAGTGAGAGGAATGGGATTTCAGCGGATATTGTAACCGCCCTGTAATCGTACTAAGCATACAGGATAAGTCTATCTCTCTCCGCCTCCTCTCTCTAACCCCTGTACATCTCTTCTCACTTTTCCCCTCTTTCTCTCTCTTTCTGTCTCCTTATCTCTGTTGTAACAGCACAGGTTGGATTAACTTTACAGTGGTTCTTAAAGTTTTGTATTCTTTTTCTCCCATAAGTAGCTTTGGATTTATGGGATTTGTGAATTTGACATTTGGTCAAATGTGGCTAAAATTACCATATTGATTATTTGCTCAAAGCATTGATGCAAATGCTGCACACATATTACTGCTATAGCCAAGATTATGGTTTCTGTTTTCAGTGGGGTTTATTGTGCTAAACAATGCATTGACTCATACTGCTATGTATACATCCAGCTAATAGTACCATATATTATTGTATCTATCTTGTAGCTTTATACGTTACATAAAAACTAATAGAAGTGTCTGTCCTCAAACAACTCATTTTTTCAAACAAAAGTGTCAATAAGAAACACAAATAAAAATAGTTTGATAGCATCAGTACCCGGAAATTCTCTATAGTTTCTCTAAAATATAAACCGTAAATCTGAAACGGGTACATCGTTTCGCAGCATGTGTAATCTATTACAGGGTAAGCGCATTTGTGGAATCCTTGTTCAGATGTCAGAAGGAGGAGGAGGCTGAGAGGATATTATAACTGTCTTTAATCTGGCTAAGCATACAGTATGGATAATCCGCTCTCTTTTACAGTACTTTTACTCACTTGGTCTTATTCCTGCAATTTGTCTGGGTGCTACAACTATGTAATCTCACTGAGATTATTGTAATTCTGTCTCTCATTTCTCTTTACCATTCTTCTTTTCTTTCATGCCACTTCGTACATTTGTTGTCTGCAGTCTTGTAATTTCCCCCACTGAACAGGGAACGTGTTGTATTTCACTCTGGGACTCATAATACCATACTAGTACCAGCATTTGTTGAGATTTCTAAACTTTTGACTGTATGAAGATGTTGGCCTTTTGGGTTCTAAAAAAAAACATGTATTATACATATAACACAGTTGTAGGTCAATTAAACTTTAGCTTCGGGAAAGGGAACTCTGGAAGCAATCTGCCTCTATATTATGAAAATGTACAGATATTTTTTCAGTTTAGATAGTTTAGTTTTGTTTATGCTCTGCCCCCATTATCCAGCCAGTAGTTGCTGGTCAGATGAGTGGTGTTGATGCAAAGTGAAAGGACTGCATAACCTACACAATATGCTAAGGAACTAAACAGCACACAGTTAGCTCTGTTTTTCTTGCATGACAGATGGGAGTATATTAGTCATCGGCCTATTCTACACGGAGACACTTCGGTGTCTGGAAAATATACAGGGCTCACTAACTGATATGTCAACAATTCAAACACCCTTGAAGCCTCTAAAGTAAACTACCAAACTGTACAAAATTGAAACACTGTATCAACTTCAAGGAGCCATGTGTGATTAAATCAACAAGTGAATAACTTGACTGACTGAAGGAGGTGATTGAAGAGTTTGCTGACAGTTAACTTTGTTTGCTAACTTTACTTTTCCTCTCTCTTCTCCATCCCTTCCTTACTTCTCTCCACTCCAGGCTCCGACTACTCTCCCCCTGCCCCGCTTCCTCGCCCTCCTCCCCCTGGCCTGACCAACGAGCACAGTGGCGGTGGTAGCCACGGCGACCATGATGGAGGAGGGGGCGGGG